AGCACACTCATTCACAGCCACAGCCACATACACAGATACACACACACACACACACACACACATACACACACACTCAGATGTGCTCACCCAGCAGCCTTCCCTGCCCTGCCCTTCCTCAAACTCAAGTCTTATTCAGGCCACGTTTCCAAGTTTCCACTGGGGTCTCCTGGGGTCTCTTGACTACAAATGAAAAGTTTCCCAAACAGTTTCTCAGCTTCCCCTTAGGGAAAACCCATAGGATCCTCCTTTCTACCGGGTGTGCAGTAGAATTGTCACCAGGTTTGTCTGTGTACAGAATCTGAAGAGTGGCTGAATCAAAGCTAACCTTCTGAAGCACCCAGAAAGATCCTTAGTTGGCTTAAGGGTCCATAGTGCTAAAACCCTCTGGGTACTCTGAAGAACCCCAAAAATAATAGTAATAATCGGTACTGATATAAGCACCTTAAAGTTTTCAAAGCACTTCATGTACATGACCTTATTCAAGTCTCACATCAGCCCTCACAATAGGCATTGTCCGTATTTTCATACTCATTTTACTGGAGTCAACTGAGATGAGAAATTAAATGACATGCCCAGGGTCACACAGTGTTGGAAATGAGATGAAGAGCCAGGTCTTCTGATTTCAAGTTCCACACTCTATTGATCCTGCCATCCTGCCTCTGGAGATTATGATAACAGTAATAGTAATAAGAACAATAATTTATATGGGATCTTTCCCTTTCTTTATCTCATCTGATCCACATCATAGTGTCATGAGTTGGGCAAGGAAGGTGTTAATATCCCTGTGTTACTGATGAGGAAGCATAAGGGTGAGAGGATTTGTCCTAGGTCACAGCAAATTAATCATGGGACAGAGACTGAAATGTGGGTTTCTTAGTTTAGATCAGCAGCTCTCCACCACACCCCAATTTCGCAGTTCCCCAACACAAAGTTGCTTTTAATTAAGGAAATATTAAGTGGCCAGGTATTATGCTAGATGCAGGGAGTACGAAGACCAAAATTAGACAAATTCTGTCTTTGGGGATCTTTGGAATTTGGAGATTCTGGAGTTTCTGGCATACTTTTTCCCTTGGGGAATGTCAAGGAGGTTATTTATCCCCACTCACAGCTAGTCCTATCCACCCGTCCCACCATCAGGCCTGAGTGAATAGGAATGTCAGAGGGAGAAACCAGTGAGCTTCCTTACCCTAGCCTAATAGGGTAAGGAAAGAGAAGGACTTGATTAGGGAAAGACAAGAGGCTGATGGCAGTGGCAGCGGTGGCGGCGGCAGCAGTGGAGGGGAATGGGGAGATTGAAGAAAAATGGAAGAGTTTGGGCCAAGAGAGAGAGGGCTTAGAGAGAGTCTGAGGGCTGGAGAAAAAGAATGGCTAGGGAGAGAATAACTTGGGAAGGAGTGTGGTGCGGGAATGAAAGAGGAGGTTGAAGGGAGAGTGATCTGGGAGAGAAAGAGAAGGCTGAGGAAAAAGGGGAATGGGAAGAAATGGGAACTAGGGAAGAAAAGGAATTGGGGAGAAGGGGGTGAGAGAGGGAGGAGGGTTTGGGGGAAAGGTGATTTATGGTAAAGAGAAAAGTATGGGTTAGGGTTAAGTGAGGGAGAGGGGAAAGGAAGGGTTAAGAGAAGGGATGGGGTGGAGAAAAGGGGGCTGAAGGAAGGAGAGGTGTCAAGCACAGTACAAACCTATCCCTGGCACCCAAGGCCATAAGCATTCACTGCCTTTGCTCTACAACATAAACAACTTCTCCACATTCTATTCCCCAGTTTATCCTCCTCCCATTTGTCCCCCATGTAGAACTCAAATATAGCTGCTGTCCTAATGAGACTTCCAGGGGTTTCCGGGCTCCCCCCTTTCCAGCTTAGCCCACCTGAGCAGGATAGACCTCTCCAACAGTTTCTCCCCACACCCCGCTCCTGCCTAGAACTCACCTGCTCCAAACATTCCAAAGCCCTGGAATTTGCCAGCTGGGCCACTAGATGTTTTCAGTCCTTCCCACTTCCCCCTGCACACACCTGTATTGTGAAAGGCCCGCACCTGCTGCCAACTGGGGCCAGGTGGGCAGCCTTAACCAGGAGGAACATTGGGGCATTCCAGCTGTGACATTCCAGCTGTGCCCAACCTACCTGCTGGAGGTTTGCTCCAGGAAACCCCCTCTCACCCCCCCATCTCCTCCTGGATGATTTCTCATTGGCTAGGTGTTTCTGGATACCTGGAGGAGGGGATGTGCACCCACTAGGCTCAAAAGACCATCCTTACTGCCTACTCTCTCTTATCAACCCCCCCCCCATCAGTTGTAGACTGAAATAGAATGAAAATATGGTGGGGGTTTTTTCTGATTGTGCATGTGTTCACACACACACTGTGGTGGTCAATGAAGTTTGTAAGGTGAATGATGGTGGAGGTAACTGTTTTCCATCATTGCATAACAATTGATCATCTATATGATAAGTTGTTATGTATTTTGTACACATCGGGCTTTTTGGTTTAAGAAATACTGTACACACATCTTGCATAGAGAGGTGGCCTTGGAACGTGGAAAACCTGGGTTCAAGTTCTGTCTCGGACCCATGCTACCCTCATGACCTCCAGCAAGCTACTTAACCTCTAAGTGTGCCAGGCAATTGTCTAAAACTAAGTTGCAGAAGGTGTGGTCCTGAATTGGTAAAAGGAGCTTCCTCACCCAGAAGATCTCCGTACCAATGAAATCACATTATCTCTATACATGCTACAGCACAAGGAGACCCAGATTCTAGATCCAGTCCTAGATTCGGATGAGTTAATAGAAATGAAAAATAGAGGAAGATATATTCTGTACACATGCTGTTATGTTTCTATGAGGGGAATGATTCCTTTCCTCTATGTCCCCCTAAGCTGGCCCAGGAAAGGAGTCTCCTTGGGGGCACAGATGGGAAGGGTAGGCCAGGCAAGGTTCACAGGTAGTTCTGAGGGGCATTTCACCTTGAACCTCCATTCCTTCCTACCTAATCTGTGCTCAGGCTGAATATAGAGCTGCCTCCTTCCTCCCTTACCCCTCAGCCACCTGGACTCACTCAGCAAAAGGCCCAGAACATATATTTTGGTAGATAGGTCTAGAGGTGGCTCATCCATGCCTCCATCTAGACAGTCTTGTCTCCATTCCATTTCGATAGTGGGTCAATTTTTTTGAGGGGGGAAGATAGCAGTCCTGGAGCCCTGTGGTTGCTGATAGGCAGCAGAATGGATTGGGGATCCAAAAGGAGGGGACAATGCCTCACACTAACTACCCCTAGCTCCATGGGTCTGTCGGGAAGAACCAAAGTTATATTGGTAGCTCCTTTAGTGGCCTTGTGGGGTTGGGGGGCTGAGTTAATGCCCATTAGTGTTCCAGATAATGGAGGGGTAGAGGGGACCTGGTGTAGGGAGAGGTACCATCCTTGATTTTGACTACTTGCTTTGCAGGTCCCCCTAGGCCAGGTGAGGAGGCTGGCCTTTCTGAAGTTAACCCAAAAGAAGCCAGGCCCCCTGCCCAGTGTACCCCTCTCAGTCTCCCCATCCCCCTCCTCAGCAGTATTGAAACTTTAAACTGTGTTAAAAGTTTCTGTTTACGAGGAGCCCTTGAATTTTTAAGGACGTATCAATTCCCTCTCTGCCCAAGTCTTTTCATAGGCAGCTGCTGGGGAAAAGAGGAGCGGCAGGATGGAGGGCTCTGAAATCCTCTGGGGGTGAGCCTCAGCACACCGAGACACATTGGGGTTCACAAATACACAAGACACTCACCCTCCCAAACACACACACACTGAAACCCTCATCCCCACAGGCTAAGTGAAGATGAAAATTGCAAGAATATCCAGGCTTTTCCACAGAACCCACCTTGTGTGCTGCTGGTGGGGAGGGGATTATTTCACACATATTCCCCAATTCTCTGGGTCTACGGGGACAGGGGCCACACCCACAGGAGCTCTACTCTTGTCTCGCTTCTCCCCCTGACTCAGAGTAAACAGTTGTGGGCCTGGTACTGAACTGGGACTCAGCAAAAATGTTCCTGAGCTAGAATCCAGGACATTCTCTCTCTGCCTCTTCCTTTCCTCCATCGGCACCTCCAGCCCTCCTTTGTCCCCCACCCCCAACTCCGAGTTGCTCTACACCCCTCCATTCCCTGTTGCCCAGGAAGGGGGAGGGCTCACCTGAGACTGGAATTGAGCCAGGGAAAGGCAGTCATTCTGGGGATCCTGGTGCCAGCAGTAATGTGGGAGGGGAAGTGGAATGGCAAGGGGTGTCCCTGAGTGCGTTTGGGGTCAAGGGGCACCCATAGGCTGGAGGAGGCTCTGGAAATACATGTCTCCTGTCATCAAGAAAGGAGGTGACAGGAGCACACACATACACATACACAATGTGTCTGTGGTGCGACAGTGTGTCAGTACGACCCAGTCGTAGTGGGCTTGTCTGTGTGTTTGGGAGAGGGAAGGCGTGCCACTAAGCATGCCGATGTGTCACTGTATGTCCGTGGGTGTCAATGTGTGTCTGTGTGCGTGTCAATGTGTCCATGTGTGACTGTTAGGGTAAATGTGTGTGAGAGAGAAAGTACGTGTCGGGGTGGGTGTGAGTGTGTGTCCGTGTGTGCAGCGGGGGTGGGAGCGGGCGCGGTCAGGGCGGGAGGGCCGGGCTGCCTCCCTCCCTCCCTTTTTCCCTCCCTCCCTCTCTCGCTCTCCCTCTCCCTCTCTCTCTCTCTCTCTCTCTCTCTCTCTCTCTCTCTCTAAAGTGCGCTCGGTTCCAAACTTTGTCTAAACTTTCACTTTCAGAGAGCACTGCAAGGCGGGGTTACCGAGCGGCATGGAGTAGAGAGCGAGAGAGGAGGAGAGTTGGAGAGGAGAGGGAGCGAGCGAGCGAGCAGGGCGAGCGAGGAGGCAGCCAGAGCGGCGGCGGCAGCGAAGGCAGCGGCAGCGGCGGCGGCGGCGGCAGCAGCAGCGAGGGGTTCGGGGCAGGCTCGCCCGGAGCTGGAGCGCGGCTTCCCCACTGCCCGGCCCAAGCTGAGCTGAGTCGCGCCTCGCCGCGCCACCCGCGCGGCTCCTCGGACAGCGAGCGATGTACTCCCCGTACTGCCTCACCCAGGTAACCGGGCGCCGCCGCCCCCGCCCCGGGGCTGGGAGGGTGTGTTGCGAGCGCGTGTCTCCTTGCGAGGCTGTCTGCGAGTGGGTCCGGCTGCCTCCGAAAGACTGCATGTCGTGTCAGTCAGTCTGCGCGAGGGTGGTGTGTGCGAGACGGTGTGGAACGGCGGCTGTAGGCGCGCGTGTGCCAGGCTGCGTGTGTGTGTCTGCGAGAGTGTCAGGCTGCGAATGAGTGTGTGTGAGCGTGAGTGTGTGTCAGTGTCAGTGTCAGTGTCGGGGTGGGGGTGGGAGTGCGTGTGGAGGGTGTGACTGCCAGAGGGAGGGGGGCCGGGGAAGCCCTCTCAGCAGGGCCTGGCGCTGCCCGCCTTAGCGCGGGGCTCTGCTCCCCGCTCCCCCTCCGCTCCCCCCCTCTACCCCCCTGCACAGGGCCCTGCCAGGCTCGGCTCCGCGGCCGCGGGGCGGGCCACACTCTCTCCAGGGCCTTTGTTTTCCTCCCCGCACATGGGCGCAGAGTTCAGAAAATGGCGCGTCTCCCAAATTTATTTCGGGAATAAAAAAGAGCCAGAGAAGCCGTGAGGCACAGACCGGGAGCAGCCCTCCCGGGCCGGCGGGCTGCGAGCTGCGGGGGGCGCTTGGCCTCCGGCCCCGACTCGGGCTCCGGCGGGCTGCGTTGACTGCCCCCTCGGGCGCCGTGGCTCCTTCCCTTCGTCAATCCCTCCACACGTCTTCCTCTCTGACTCCGTCTAGGTCTCTCCTGTGCCGGGGCCGCGATCTCCCGGCGCTCAGCCTCCGGTTCCGATCCCAATCTGGGGCTCAGGCAGGCAGAGAGTCTGACAGCGCAGAGGGCCTCCCTTCCCGCTAACTCCCGCGCCCGCTGCCTCCCTTACCGGGCCTCTCTCCCCGCCCCCCGCTCGCTCCATAAACTTTTTCCGCCGCAAACTTTCTAGCCAGCACAAGCTATGTGCGGCTTGTGGTAAAGAGGCCGAGCCTGAGTCGAGTCTTCTCGCGGCCCGACTCCCGCAGGACAGGAAATCCCCGTGCCTCCTGACCCCTAGCTCGGGTCCTGAGGTGAAAAGGGGGTGGGGGTGGGGTGGGCGAACTTGGTGCACCGAACACTACGCCAGGGCTTTATTCGATTAGGTGGCAAGCCGTCTCAAACCCGAATAGAAGGCGCAACAGGCCCCGCGCCATAGAACGCGATAGAGAGCTCTACAAACCCAGGGCTTTAAGGACCCGCTGTGGGAGCTCGGGGCACAGACCAAGCTCACTGCTCTGCTCCCAGGCTTCCCTAAGTGTGGACCCCACGAGTGAGAGAAAGGATCAACTGCTTTGTCAATGACGGTGTACGTCTGAACTGCCGGGGGGCCCTGTAACCTCGTGTATGTCCTTGTCGTCCGACGTTCAAAAAGGCCCCCTCCGCTTAGCTCAGGGAAAGGGGTTCCTGCAAATACCAACAGGGCCAGGAAATTTGGGAATTGCTGTATCTCTCCCCATTGGGGTGTCAGTTTTCTGAAAGTTCGGAGTGTTCCGAGGCCACATCAGGTGATCCAAGCTATTTACCAAAACCACCTCTGTTCTTAGGGAGGAGGTGACTCCTAAAAGTCCTCATCCTCAGATAGGATATAGGAACGGCTAGTGGGAAAACAGAAAAAAAAACGGCGCTGGCTGCGGGGATACGGGGACCTCCCTAGAGTAAGAGCTAGTGGGTGATGAGTGAGAGAGGGCAGATCAGGCCAGGGCCTTGAGTAGACCCTTCTCCTGGCTGCACTGGATGGACTATGTAAAGATGAGGCAGTTTCTCTGTGAGTCTATCCTGTCTATTATAGTGTGAGTGAATATGTATATTAGAAATTTATATCAATGTACCCCAGAGTGAGTGAATGTTTGTAGGCCTGTGTATTAGTATGAATTATGTATGTGTGTATGTGTGAATTTCCTTTCTTTTTCACTCAGACTCTAGAATTCGGGTGTTCCTGTTGGTGGAAGTGGCAGAATCTGGGAGAGGGAGAGCCATAGGCCACCTCGCCCCTGACCCTTGAGCTGAGGCATTGGGGGCTTGAACACCTCAGGCCCAGAAGACCTGCTGGGCTGAGCCTACTAACTTTGGGGCCTACTTCTCCACACAGGGCCTCCGGGTCTCCCCTTCAATGCATTAACCTTTCATGGTCTAAGTTTGGGTTCTTCGAAGTCACTACTAGCCATCAAAACTTGGGTCCAGAGATGGGGAACCGGAGTCTAATCCCCATTTGGGAGAAATTAGGCCTGACCTCTCAAAGATTTATATCTAACATGCTTCACACCCTCGGCCCAAGAGTTTTCCTCTAGCTTCTAACCGTCTCGATGTTCTTGCTGGCTGCGCTACTTGCCCGCTGTCCCGAAGACCACTCCCATGACTGGGAACCTTGTGTTCTCTTTCCAGTGCCCCCCGGTGTACCCTGGCGAGCTGCACTGGTTCCCCAGTCTCTGGGCAGGGGGCCTGGGCCCCGGCCTCCCTCCCCCTCAAGCTCGGGTGTTTGTGGGCGAGCACGGCCCAGCCGCTGCCTAATTATCCATTTCCCAACTCTGTACTTTTCTTTTCAAGCTGCTCTAATGACCTGCAATTTTCTTTTCCTCCTTCCCTTTCCCCCTTTCCTCCTCTTCCCCATCTGTTAAACAAAAAAGTAACTTTATCATCTTTCCCCTCTCCCTCGTTTCTCTCTCTCTCTCTCTCTCTCTCTCTCTCTCTGTCTCTCTCTCTCTCTCTCTCTCTCCCTCCCTCTCTCTCCCCCTGACTCTTGACATGGGTGGGGAGGACGTGGAAGGATTGGGAAGGGGGCAATTAGGGCAGAGGTGAGGCCAAGGACAGGGAACCTAGGAGGTGGCAGTGTGGGGTGCCCTGGATAGTACCCCCGCCTCTCATTTCTTTGGATTTCAAAATTGCTTTGGTCATAAAATATTGATTCTTCTGCTGACTGGCAGATGGAAAAAGGCAGCAAGACAGCAGACCTATACTGGGACTGACATGAGGACGGGTGGGAGAGCCAAAGGACGTCCATCCCCTTTTCAGGAGACCTCTGGCCTTTTAGAGGGCATTGTAGTATGTGTGAAGGGGAATTCTGAGCTGACCCAGGCTTCTTGTGATCTTTCTGGATTCGAAGTCTGAGCCAATCAACAATCTATTCAGGATTTGGGAGTGGGATTTTGTAAAAAGAAAATTTAAAAATGCTTCTTCCCCCCCCCCCCCCCAAAAGCTCAGATAGACTGAGATGAAGACAGAGAATGGTACAAAAACAAGGAGATGGCAAGAGCTAGAGGGCTGAAGAGTCTGGGTGGATAGAGAAGATCAAAGGGAACAGATTGGGCCTCCAATCCCGGTTCCTTAGCTCCTCGGCTCAAGAGTAGGTCAAACCCAGCAGTCTCAGTCATGGCCCTTTAGTATTTCTTGACTGTTTCCCTGTCTCCCCACCCCCTCCCCAGTCAGGTTCCTCTATACCGCATGGAACACCGGAGGCTTTGATGCACCCAGTAAGTGGCCCGAGGGAAAAACCCTCTGGGTCCTGCCCCCACACCAGGTTGTCTGCCCCTTCATCTTTTTGTATGTTCCTTCCACTGGATATGAAGGACAGTGGTCTTTTGTCTTTCTCCCCCTCCGTATTGTCTCTCTGTGTCTCTGTCTCCCTCTCCATCTCTGTCACTCTCTTTCTCTAAAACCAAAATTGGCTTTGATTTTAAAGTCAATAAATGAGCAGGAGCAGAGCAGAGCAGGGGCCCTGGTGGGGAAAGAGGCGAGAGCGAGAGAAGGGGAAGAGGAAAAGGAGGAGGAGAAAGGGATGTAGAAAAAGAGAGGGAAAGGGTGGAAAGGGGAAAAATAGAAAAGAGATGAAAAAAGATGGAGGAGGGTAGAGAAAGGATAGAACAATAGAAAGAGGAAGGAAAGAGATGGGAGGAGAGATGTTGAGAGAAAGGGGAGAAAGAAAATAGAGGGAAAGAATGGGAGAGGAGAAAAGGTGAAGAGGAGCTAGAAAGAATGGAGAAAGGGAGATAAAGAGGAGGAGGAGAAGAGATAAAGGGGGAAAGAAAGGGAGAAGGAGAGAGAGTGATAGAGAGAAGAGGAAAAAGTGATGAGGGAAGAGAGCTGGAAAGGAGGATGTCAAGGGAAGAGAAACAAAAAATGATATGGGGCAGAGGAGAAGAGATGGGTGAAGAGAGGAAAGGAGAAGTATATGGGGAGAAAGGAGACAGAGAAAGGAGAGGCAGGGAGAGAAGGAAGTTAGGGGACTAAGGAAGGGATGAAAGATGGAAGGAGGAAAGGGAAAAGAATTTCTTGGAAAAAGCTGAGAAATCTAGGGCAGGAACAGTGGAACTGGGGCCTGGAAGGGTTCAGAGCCTTGTCACTCAGATGAGACAGAGATGGATGGGAAACCCCATGTCATATATAGAGAGAAGAAAAAGAGAAGCACGTGTACATAATATATTCTCACACAGGCATACAAAGAAACACACAGAGATGGATGGGGAATCATACAGACACAGAGACACATGCTCACAAACATATGTAGATACAAACACAGTTAAATGCTTACACATAGAAAAAAATAATAGCTCACCAATAGCTATGATTTAATTGAGCTGCTCACCTCACTATGAAGTAATAATATCCCCATTTTACAGATGAGGAAACTGAGGTTCAAAGAAGTGAAGGAATTTACTCAGGGTCAAATAGTATGTATTGGATTTAGAACGTGAACCCAGGCCTTCTGACTCCAAGTTCGATACTCTTTTTATAGGAACATAAATACAAGTGTTTAGTCACACATAGGCACCCACCGAAAAACGTGGGCATGCATATGAACAGACATGCATATAGCCACATATTCAAACTGTTTTATGCCCCTAGTAGGATTGAATAATGTTGGAGACTCCTTTCCCTGGTCTCCTGACTTAGTCTCTTCATGACTGTACAAAAGCCATCTGGCTATCCTTCTACCTTTGTAAAACCTTGAACCTGATTTCCTCCTAAATGGG